CCTGTCTTATGAGAGGAGACTGAAAAGAAACTGCTCATTTAACTTAGATCACACTCAGTTTCATTTTCCTGAGTGCTGTCTATGAATACATCAAAGAGCATGAAGGTGGGTAAAATAGGGAGGGGAAAAGAGATGAGCTACTTAATCTAGAGGACAGGCACAAGAACAAATGGGTATAAACTGGTCATGAATAAATTTTAGGCTGGAAATTAGAAGGTTCCTCACCATTAGAGGAGTCAGACTTTGGAATGGCCTTTTAATTAGAGTAGCAGGGGCAAGAAATTACCAACCAGATTATATGATATGGTGCCTCTGATAGCAGGGGACTGTAATCAATGAATTAAGAGATCCATTTCAGGCTCATTTCCTTTGTGTCCCATCTTCTTTTCTGGGAAGACGAGTATAAGCTAGTTTCCCTTTCAAAATACAGGAGCGAAAATAATGGAGTTATTGGAAGCCGTCTTAGAGCACTTTCATACAGGCACTGCAAAAAATATTTTGAGGTAACCAATCGTGTGTACTGCTACTAAGCTATTGGCGTCTTAGTAAAACTAGATTGAGTACAAAGAAAATAACTTGGTGTAAAGCAGATTTTTTAGCAAAGATTGTAAAGATAAGGTTAAAACCCAAATAAAAAAATTCGGTAATAGCATAGCTATCTCCAGGCTGTAGGGACCAAAGGGTAGGGTGGGAGATCATTGTCTTTTCTGTTGCCAGCCTGTGTCCTTTTAGCTCTAACTCAATGCTGTTCTATCCAAATGGATAATTCGGTGAAACTTTGGTTTATGAGAGCTAATGAGAAAGCTGCAAAAAGGAACATTGGGTGGATTTACTGTACTGTCTGTCTTCTGCTGATACAGGTATTGAAGACTGTCTGCTCAGTCTAGTAACAGGGTCTGCATAAATGTTCAGGGTGGGATAAGTTTGTAAAGTAATAAACTTTCGTACTGTTTTTCAGAACTTACTGCAATATTGGTTGTTTTGACCTCAAGCATAGGCCTTGTCTGACCCAGCTGGGCTGCAGAGCCCCTCGGTTGCAGCCTTCAGACCCTTGTAAGATGAGCACAAAGCCAAGGTAGGCAATGTGAACAGTTAGGGGTAACAACCGGGAACCTAGTGAACTGCTTCAAACCTCCGCTTAGTTACTCCTTTTCAAATGAGACGGCAGCTACAGCCACGTGAGCGCTGACCCTCTGTTCTTGGGAGGTGGGAGCGAAGGAGGTACCTACAAGCTGAAACCACTGCCTGCCATCTCCTTGAAACAACTGTCAGGGAAAGAAAACTTGTGTGCTTGGGCTCTGGTCTCAGTGGATTTATTAGATGCTGCTCCTCACCTGAGAATGGTTGTGACTGACAGTTTGTTATGCAAGGAGCACATTTTGACTACATTTGGACATATAGAATCCCTAAAACTAATTTTAAGCACAATTGTATTAGAAAATGTGTGGATACTTTGGGCCACAGTTCTTTCAAGCGGCAGACCATTTAACTGGAAGTGGACCTAGATAACTGAAATGAGAAAGAAAATTGACCAAAAAAAATACTTCAGTAAGGCAACAAAATACAATTATATGATAAATATTTAGCTTTTAATAGCACTAATGACCTTGATGGAAGGTAGTCCTAGGGATTAACGAGTACCTGAGGTCAACAGAGTCAGCTCCACCCAAGCAATCATTAATTCACAGCTAATGTCCCAGACTTTGATCATTAGTAGTTAAAAACAAAATCAATTTTACATAGTTTAGGGCCCCTTTTGACTAGCAGTATCAACAATACAGATACTTAATTTTGAAAATGACCTCCCTGCTAGATTTTCCCCCCCCCCATACACCCTACATTTAAATAATGAAAATGGCAAATTTCAGCATGCTATGTTCTGAAATGCCTGGTTTATTAAATCCTGAGGTGCATTTATAATAAAAGCATAGCAGCTTTTTACATAGAATATTTCTAGTTTCCAAAGCCTTACAAGAGGCAGTCCTTAATGTTTTGAAAGCATTTTCCAAACACTTTGGACATTGTGTTTCAATTTAATAATGTTTGAATTTAATAAATTATTAAAAATGCTGCTATTATGCATGCCCTACACCTGTAGGTAGACAGTGGTTAAGAAACTTTGTAAACCTTTATGCTAATTAGTGTTTTGAAAGCAAATCTTGAATTTTCTGAGACTTTGAAGATACTGGGCTAAATTTGAAGGAGATTCCAGTAACTTCAGATATTTTGCTGGAGACCACAGGGGCCTGATTTTTTTTTCTTTTTTTTTTTTTTTTTGACATACTGCATATAGGCTCCTCCTTTTGAGTTGACTGCTAAACGTGTGGAAATGGGGAAAATTTTTACAAGCATAATACAAAGGTGAAATGTGTTTGGAATAGGCTTCTGTCCTCAGTAATAATTGTAAAATAATTTTTATTATTAATGATACGTATTGGCTTTGTGGAGTCTCTATAACAGGTTGGCCAGATAATGTTGTATGACAGCTTTGTGCTTTCAACATGTTTTATATCTGTATATAATTTCTTCAAATTAATTAATTTTTGCATCTTTATCAGGATTGTAATGGCATACTAAATTGTATTACTTTTCACATTTTATAAAATACAGCCTGAGACAAGAGACAAAATGAATGCCACAGTGTTGATTTGGTATGGGATAAACGTGCAGGAAACAAACATCAATAACTTCCTGAACTGCATAGACTGGATGTTACAGGGTGCTCTCCCTTCCTTGCTAGAATGGCATGTTGTATAAACTTAAACGTAGCACTCCCTTCCTATCATGCAGATGCTAAGCTTCCCTGGGAGAGAAGAGCTGTGTAGCTGAACCACCTGCAGGCCTGCTAAGTCCTGATTATAAAGTATGAGAGCTAAAGAAAATGATTCTGGACTGGCTCATGCACAATGTGTTAATAAAAGCAATCTCCATTTAAAAATGCAGTATATGAATGGGGAACTCCAGTCCTTTGTGTCCCAGGGCCAAAAGGTGTCTGTTCTTAATTGCAGCAACACATGCAAGAGCAGGAATCTGTCAGGATCTCCAAATCTAAAAATTATGTCTTAGGCCTTATTGTAGGACGTCATGTGTATAAGGTATATATGTTTAATCAAAATAACAGAAAGCATCCTGAAGAATTTGCAGCTTTCAAAAATACCATTACTAAAAGACAGACTTATAAAGGCTATTTGTTTCTTTTTAAAGTGCTTTAAGTTTGCTTCCCTTTATTATAGAATAGATTTTTGCTTAGCTTTCTGTATTTTGGTAAAGGTTATGAATGGAGTCCTAGCCCATTGAAGATGGTGGTAGAACATCTGTTGATTTCTCTGTAGGATCAGAATTAAGCCTGAAAATTTACCAGATTGAAAAAAAAAAATTAATGCAAAGAAAGATTGGAGGAACCAAGCATATTGAAAATTCATATAAATTACATCTGGCTACTTCAGTTACAAGAACATACATTTCAAGAAAATCAAAACGTTTTTTGATTTTTTTTTTAAAGCATTTCAGTTTTAAGCACTATTATTTTGTTTAAAACAGGTGCATATCTTACATTTTCAGTTTGCTTGAAAAATCCATAATTCTCACAACTCTTCTCCAAACTTCCTTACACGTGAATTTGAGCTGATAACATGCTGTGCTCTGATTCTACTCAGTACAATTGGAAATATTGAAAACTTCAAATCAAGTATGACTTTTTCAGTTAGTTTCACATTAGAAATATTTGAACAATTACTCAAGTGTAGTGATACTACTGTCTGTTGTACTGTGAGTAAATTCTTAAACGGTAGAAGGGAACCTCACACAGCCACGTGAAAACACTCCTGCGTTTAGCTCAGCAAAGCGTTATTGAAGTTATTTTTTATAATACCGTTAGTTTTCATAGATTTTTCTCCATAGGATTTTCTCTGTTGCTTAAAACGCTACTGAAAATCTTATTCTAATAACTGGCTGCTCCTTTGTGGTGAAATGCTGGGGAAGCTAGGTGAGGCTATAAATGAAATCATTAATGTGGAGAAAAATGTGCTTGTACACTGTGGTGCAGCCTTCTACAGTGTATGCGGTAGACCCATAAACCACTTGCTAACGAGTGCCAGATAATGACAGTAGATTCTAAATAAATTTCCCCTGCAATTGAGTTGAAATGTTTAAAATATGGTAGTTAAGAAAATGGTCTTTCTAGGAGAAAACAAATAATTTTCTGTTTGATCTACAACACCCTTTTAATAACATTTTATGGTATCACACAGAGGAGAAAACAAAATAAATTCAGCAAATGTAGAAATCAATAGAGAAGCTGGTATTTCCTCCGGTGAATAAAATCAATTATGTCCTCGGAAGAGAGGTGTTTCTTTTTGAGGGGAGAGGAGGGGAGAAGGCAAAAAAAAACAAAACAAAAAAAACAAAAAAACCACCCCATCTAAATCAAGCCTAACCCAGCCCGCAACCCTCAACGGTGCTGTCTTGGAAACGCCTGTGCGGATGCATATGTTTCCTGGCGGAGCTGTAGGTGTCAGTATAAACATGGCTTTGAGGTCAGGTGCGGCGCCTGTCACTGCAGCCCATTGAGCTGTCCCCGTTATTGAATGCGTCGGCGCTCAGATGTTCAGCATGCATGGGACATTGTCTGCCTGGCTGTTTGAGGCACTGGCAGCAGAAGGTGACATCTGGTGACTAATGGGCTCAGATGTGAAAGCCGTTCCCACAGTTCCTCGGGCTGCAGCTGCTCTGCCACTGCGTGAGATGCAGGAAACGGAGGGGAGAATATCAGTCGGAAAAAATCAATACCTTCTGATTTCAGAGGAAGTATAACGTGGCCTTGGCTGCAGACATTTTCCCATCCTTGGACTTCTGGTAAATGAACAGACCACGCAGCTGAGCATGGTAGTTTACTGTGTCTCCTGCTTTGCTTATTTAAACTGATCAACTTTTAACGAAATGGCTGCACCTTATGCAACAAAGATGGACCCTTTCCAGACACAGTCCAGACTCTGCTCTGTTTCCCTTATCAGATAGGGGTCTGCCAGAGCCAAGTCAGTCTGGTTTCAGGGTGACTTCAGCTCATGATCAGATGACGCTCTAACGCTTACGAAACTGAACCAGAGCGCTCTCTCTTTCCTCATGGGCAGGTACGTGTGGGAGAAACTCATCTGTCCTTTAAACTCCCTGAAACAAAGACTAAGCTGGAATGTGGCGACCCTGTATTTCATGTTTGATCCACTGATCAGCTATGATTTATTTGTCGAATTCTCAGAAACGGCAGAGAGAAACCACAGGAAGAGCTCAGCACTGCAGATGGTGGTAAAAACTCTGTTATTAGCAGCTGACAGCACAAACCACAGAGTGGAAAGCACAGATAAATTCATGGCTGGAAGTTAGTGTTTACAGCAGAAAAAGGATTTTTAAGAAGGGCTTTTCAGTGTGTGCAGGGAGGGAAAAGGAGAAAAGAGCTGGGAGGAGGGGGAAGGAAAATTTCTTAGTTGTTGCACCTTTACGCTACAACTAAATCGGTGCATTTGGTGTCAGGGAGTCACTGAAAAGGACTAACGGGGGAAATGGAACAGCAAGGACCTGAGGAGAGAGAGAGATTTTGCTGTGCGTGCGCACATACAAGCACAGATAATACGTGATTTTTCCATCGTCTGAGCCTCTGCTGTGACAGAGGGAGGGAGAACAGTTGCATGCATCAGCCTCATAAAATCTGCAAAAGCACTGTTCTTAATTCAGCCGTCGGCTGCTCCCAGACCTCATGCAGAGAATTACGGCGGAATTCTATTTGCAGACTGACATCTCTAATGCTGCTGCGTCCTTATGTTTACTTCGGTTAGCTGTCAGCCTTTATAAAGTACACTGTACCACAGCCACTGCTGTGGAAAAGAAAACCCTCAGAGTAGCTGCTTTGGGGGAGATAGTTGAGAGAAACATAAATAGAGGAAGCAGGGGAAATAAAAATAAAAAATAAAAAGAATTTACTTATGTGTCTGCGCAACGTGAGACTCAAAACAGAGATCATTCAGTCCTTGTTTTCAGTACGTTTCTTGGTTTTAGTCTTGACTGATAAAATATTTAACGGCCATCTTAGCACTCAGCATAGCAATAACCAAAGAACATCCAAGCTCTCGGCACCCACAGAGACAGAATTCCAGTGTGATGTGAAGTTTTCTCTTCCCCTTTCAGATAGACATACCATCTAGCCTACCTCAGGGCTGAACGTGAGTTTGTTTAAAAAAAAAAACAAAACAAAACAAAAAAACCACCACATTTAGCATATGCTGTTACTGGAACCTTTTTATGGTTTTCTGAAAGTTACAAAATAGAAGGATGCCACCCACACTGGGGTACATTTATTGGTCAAGTTACTGTATTTCCCTGCTTTTAAAAAGACAAATAAAACGGAGGTTACTTAATTGGGGGGGAGGCGGAAGGGAGAGGTTTGGGGTTTCTTTTGCCTGGAGTCCCCGGTTAAGATAGGATTTAATTTTTGCATGTAGACATAAATAAAAGTTGATCTCTACTCCTCAGAGTGTGCTTTCTGAGTAAAAAACCTAGAAAAGAATGCAAGTGGGAACTCTGACCAAGAGAACTGAGCAGCTTGCAGGAGATACCCTGGTTCTTCTCTGCTCAAGCTGAGAATTGAATAAGGAATAGCTGCAATCCAGCCTGCGTGTTCATAGTCTTAATTGCCAAATCACTGGAATTTTTATGACAGGAAAACTGGGAAAACGTTAATCAAAAAAGTAATTGTAAGATCAGCTTTTCTTTGTGGTATTTCATACAGAAATGCAGTATATGAGCTGCTAGATCATGATAAAATGACGGGAACTGACTTTTTGGGAAGTTGACTGACTGACGACTCCAGTTCTATTGGAGTCTTCTCAACAGCTCTGAAAAGTTGGTCCTCATAGACGTTTTGTTAGAGAGGCAGTATCAGTTCTTGAGATCTTCATTACAGCTGTCATGATTTTTGGAGTTTTTCTTTATGTGCCAGCTGCCAGAATTGGGAAATTGCACCATACTTTCACCTGCTGTTACTAAATAAATATGCCTAGCCTTTTCTGATGTGAAATTTGTGATTTGGTGAGGCTCAGAAACTGCCAACCAAATTCCAAGGCTCCAAAATTTATTGTTAAAAAGAGAAGTGTTACCTCTTTATCAGTTTTGGACATCTGGACTCCAATACTGAACAGGTTCCCTGCTGTTTTCCTTATAAGTGGAGCTAAGAGTGATGCTTCTGTTTAAGTTTGCCTTATGTTTTTCCTAATGTAAAACCCTGTTATATGCTGCACATAGTGTCCGCAGACTTCAGCTGTTCAGATCAGATTTTTATATGCCGGGTTATCTCTGTTGAGACAGTTACCTTTTTTTAAATCTAAATTTTTGCTAAGTGTACCTGTATTTTACTCAAACTGACATCAAAAACATCCTTGCCTCTGTTCCACTAAGACTCTTTAGTACCTGTGTACTCAGGAGCAGGGGCTTGAAATCCAGGGAGCAGGTTGTCAGAGACCACAAGTTGAAAGAACAGATGAGCGTACAGAGAAAGGCTCTGAAAGGGACAGGAAACATTTTGTTATTGGTTGGGTTGATTCTTTCTGAGATTTTTTAAAATTAAATACTGACACCTTGTAAGAAGAACAAGATGAAACTTCTTTTCTTAATAAAGCTAATAAACAAAACTCTGAAATTCTCTTTTCTCCACACATTAGTTGGTTGGGTTTTAATGGCAGAAAAGATGAGGTAATGTTAGAACTGAGTTTCTTTCTATACCACTGGTATGTGAGGGTGAACTTTAGTTGTTCAGCTTACCTAAGTCTCTGTTTTTCCACCTGTAACACACTCAGAAGTTTTGTCAACCTTCCTTCTTTAAATCCCAAAGAACTTCTAAAAGAATGTTTAAAATGAAGTTTTTTTCCCAGATAAGGAAGATGCTCTGGGAAAATCTTTTGCTTTAGTTAGTTTGGGAAGGCATAGCGGTTCTACAGATGCATTGCTGTCCTAACTTCAGGAGCTCCGTATTGTCCGGATAGTAGTCTTTCTAAATTTTTCTAAAAAGGCTTGTTGCCGTCTGTTTTAATCTCCTCCAAAGCTTTATACTCTAACTCTGTGTGTGTTTGTGTTACGGCTTTGACAGGTTGGCAATTCTTGTTGCAGTCACTTAACAAGTTCTTAACCCTAGTTGTAAGATCTGGGAAATGGCACTGTCAACCTCGTGCTGTGTCCTCGGGTACTGACGCTTGGGTTTTCTGGTCCCAAGGGCACAGTGGTTATCAAGGACTAAGCGAGAGTGGTTCTGGCCATGGAAGTCAATGGGGGAGGTGTTTAGGCTTCTGCCTGGCCTCCTCCTGTATCCATCAGTAAAAGCTGGAGGGATATGGAAGAGAACACGCTCCTCCTCATGTCAAACAACTGCCCTTCTTTTGCAAGGCTAAGAAACTGCTAAAGGGACTAAGCTACTCTAAAATGAGATTGTTTTCATGATGCCTAATAGGATGATAAAACGGGCTGAATGAATGGAGACACATCCCCAGCATGAGCCTGGCTCTGCAGTGCATGTTAGGGCACATAAAAAGAACACTGCATTTTCCTTTGCGTGCTGCAGTATTATTTCCATATCTATATTACTAATAACACCCTACAGTACTAAACTTGAACAGCAAAAATACAATTGTATTCTTACTAGATCTCTAGTATTGTAGACTTTGCTAAAAGCGTTATCGTTACTAAGAGTAATTGGCATCTTTGCTAGTAGAGTGGGAGCAGCAAGGATAGAGTGGAGACAGAGCTATTCTTTTTCTCCAGCAAGCAGCCCGGTTTGAGGCCCACTGTTTAACTAGTGTGAGGGAAAATTTGTGCCAACCTGAGGGTTTGTTGTGGGGGAGGAAGCTTATATTTACTTTGGATGAATATATACTTACTTATTGTGACCGTTTTCAAAAGTTCTCATCACTTCCTAGGTTGTGGTTGCTGAGCTTATCTGTGTAGTTTGGTGATGCTTTGAAGTCTTCTACTGAAACGTGCTCTTTCTTGTGAAATGAAACATTTAGTAAACTGAAGGCTGCTTTGAATTGGGGTGAAGATAAATTTTTTTCAGCTGATTTTATTTTCTTCTTCTCTGAAGGGTGTTGCTCTCCTCTCTGGAGCCTCTCTACCACATCTGCTGTTGCTAACATTATAAATGCTCTAAGGCTAAACAGGAAACTATACATTAGCCTTCCAAAGGGCTGCTTTCTTTTATAGTAAAACTAAAGGAAAGTGAAAATATTTGAAGGATTCAATACTATGAACTGTGTAAGGTGCGTCCATCAGCTGTCAGCGCTTACTAGGCACGATCAAACCCTGTCACACAGGTCACATCATCTAAGTGCAGTGTACAAAGAGGATTTTGTTTTGAATTACAATGATAGAAATCCTAACCACACCAAAACCTTTGCATAAATTTGGGCCTTTATTTTCTGTATTGTTACCTCGTGTTTAATTCCAAAGAGTTCAAACAGTGTGTATCACATAGATCCACGTACACAGTTTATGCAAATACCGGATGTATGTCAGTCTAGCTGTACATCAGAATTTTACACGTTTTTCTGCTTTGGAGAATCATCCCTGTTGTTAAACAGGCTTATGCTTCAGTGTTAGCTTTGGGTTTTGCATGCACAACGTAGACAGTAATAAGTTCTTCCAATTTTAATATCCTGAGAAAACCAACTGCAAAACCCAGCATCCTAGTGGTAGTACAGTGAGTGACGCAGCACAGACATTCTCTGTCTGCACAAAATAATGTGAAGCAGACCTGAATTTAAGCCATAGGTTGTGATTACCTATGTGAACACATAAACTCTCCATTTTGACAATCTCATGTTTATGCAAGATGTCTTATAATATGAATTTGATCTGAGAGGTCCCCCTCAGTTTCCTGACTGAAATCTTTCCTTCTTGGTTGTAATTCTTGTGTGACAAATTTACACGGTGATAGCTAAGCTGTTGCAATGAATGCATTAATTTGTTGCCAGACGTGTTTAGATTATTCTGCAGTTACGAATGTTCCAGTGTGTTTTTCTAAACAGATGAACATAGTTAATAACATTACAATGATAAGGCATTTACTGTTTACCAAAAAACATTTAGCTCTGGT